GAACGCCAGCGCGATAATTGGCGGGCGCGACATAACCTATTCAATTCATGCCATAAAGTGATCACAGTTGATGAGTGCACCGTGTTATTTTTAAAATACAAGGAAAAATACATTTACCAACGTAAGTTATTTTTAATTATTGCTATTGTATTTGTAATATGTTATAGTTTAACACAGTATATATGCATTTTCGTTTTTTTTTTTTCGTACGCTTGATAAATATCCGTGTTCACACTTACCTCTTAGTATTTCGCATAATGAGGTAAGTGTGAACATTTCATCAGTGCAAGTGTGAACGTACATTTTTGCGGTGTAAAAACTTAATAAAAATTTTTCATTTCAGAATATGCCAAGAGTCTACGTAAGAAAGACTAACAGAAGAGGGGCTTATTCAAAGGAATATATAAATTTAGCTGTGGCTGAAATTAAACGCGGTGCTCTAACCATACATAGAGCCCATAGATTATATCATATTCCAAAAACCACTCCATTTTATCACCTGAAAGGTACCCGAGGAAAAAAAAGCGAGGCCGTTCTACAGTGATTCCAAAAGAGGATGAAATCAAATTAGCAAATGCTCTTCGCACACTTGAGAAGTGGGGCTTTGGAATCACGAGAAAATAATTGCTGATGGTTGTTGCAAGTTATGTTGAACAACATAATATTAAGACACCATTCAAAAACAACATACCTGGTCATGATTGGTTCAGAAACTTTAAAATACGTCACCACTTGAGTATAAAGAAGCCCCAATCAGTTGAGTACGCCCGAAAAAAGATGACAGATCCGTCCATCATTAGAGAGTTATTGCAAATTCACTTAAGGTCAGTCACTATTAGTGCCGCTCTTATTTTGACATCTGAGCATGCGTAGATCACTAACTTTAATAAAGATTGTGCCTGTCCTTAATAAGAGAGTTATTGCAAGTTCACTTAGGGTCAGTCACTATTAGTGCCGCTCTTATTTTGACATCTAAGCATGCGCAGATGTTTATGTTCTAAAACTGACTTAATTAAGGATTGTGCCTGTCCTTAATTGTGGATGTTTAAGGGCAGCAGGTAGTGGCGACTTTATAGCTTTCGGATGCGCTCGTCATTTAAACCTTCTAAAATTATAATTTTTAATGCCTCTTTAATATTAGGTACTATTATAGAATTTATTTGACTCTAATTACGATGTCACTATTAGTGGCTGGCTTTATAGAAATTTGCAATATCTCTCTATAAAGGATAGGCACAATCTTTATTAAAGTTAGTGATCTGCGCATGCTCAGATATCAAAATAAGAGCGGCACTAATAGTGACTGACCTTAAGTGAACTTGCAATAACTCTCTAAAAATGCATATTTCGATATTTTGAAACAAACTTTACCAGATTTATCACTTCATAACAAGCCCGAACAAATTTGGAACCTAGATGAGAGTTCTTTTTCTCATGATCCTTATAAAACAAAAATTGTCGGTGCAAGGGGAAAAGCTTGTTCTAGAACCGTGTCAGGTCAGGGCCGGGAAAATAAAACTGTTTTAGCTGCTGTATCTGCCTCCGGATTAAAAGCCCCTCCACGCATTGTGTATAAGAAGAAGAATATTTGGGATGCCTGTGTTCCAAATGAAGAAGACTCGTATCCGGAAATGTCATTTACTGCCAGAAAAAAAGGCTGGATAGAGACAGACATTTTTTAAATTACTTTGAAAAACTCTACTGCCTGCTCTGGGACCACACAGACCTGTTCTGATTATTTATGATGGTCATAGCACCCATGTTACCAATTCCTCTAATAGAACTGGCAACTGCCAATAATGTAAAAATTCTCAAACTTCCCCCACACACGAGCCACCTTCTCTAGCCACTAGATATATCAGTGTTCAGATCACTGAAGGATATATGGGATGAAAGATTAGTAGCTTGGCAAAGGAGAAATGTGGGAATTAAAATACCAAAGAAACAATTTTCGGCAATGATCAATCAAGCCTGGAAGGACCTTAAGCCTAACACTATTAGTAATGGTTTTGTAAAAGCTGGTATACAGCCATTTGATCGGCCGGTCATATATAAAGACAAATATGATCCTGAATGTTTAAGAAGGTGGAGAAAACACACTTCGTGTAATGCCATTGGGAGACGAGAAGAAAACCAAAATGTTGGAGGAAACGAAAATGTCGAAGAAAACCAAAATGTCGAAGACAACCAAAATGTCGAAGGAAACCAAAATGTCAAAGAGAACCAAAATGTCGAACAAATTCCAAATATAGAAGCTACAACTAGTCGATCCACATTAAAATTATCATTTGAAGTGCTTCTTTTGAAAACAATAATATAGTGGCTAGGTACAAAAAAGAAAAAAAGAAAAATGGCATGTGGAGCAGAAGTCATCACTGCACCACAGGTATTAGCTAGACTAGAAGAAGAAAAATCGACTAAGACTAAGAAAGTTTTCCGACAAAAAGTTATTAAAAAGCATACAATCCAGAAAGAAAATGACATCGAATCTACAGATGAAGAGCTGGACGATTTCTCTGTAATAATTGATTCAGCAGATGACTTGGTCCCAGAGAGTTCTGATACAGAAGAAGAGCTAGATACAGATAAAACTCTGGACAAAAAAATCGAAGAAGAGCAAACTAATATCGAAAACGGCAAATGGGTGGTAGTCAATATGAAACCAAGAAGAGAATAAGGAATTTTGTTGGCAACATTTTGAACGAAACTGATGAAGGATGGGAAGTGAAATTTTTAAAATTTGGAGAAACGTTTTCTTGGTCCGATATAGACGATATTGATACGATTATTAAAGAAATGATCATCAGAATCCTGCCAGACCCCAAGAGAGGCCGCAGAGGATACACATTAATTTTCTCAGTAGATTTGTCAAATTTTAATTTAGGCACTTTGAAAAGTTCATAACTTTTTAACTATTTTAGATGTTAAAGTGTTCAAAAAACAAAATTGTAGCTTTTTTAATGGCAGTGGGTCCGTGTCCGATATAGGATACGGAGCTGCTTGTTCTACACGTCCGAGTTCGGATATCTAGATTACAATTCTACACGTCCGAGGCCAGTGAGGCCACATTTTTTCTATTTCACTTTCAGATTCAGTTCGAGGTGAAAACTATAGAAAAAGAAAATTGGGATAATGAAAGTCGGAGACGAATTTGTGTCTTACGACGATTTAATTAAAGCTCTTAATGCTTACGAACAATTAAATTTTGTAAAATTTTATAAAAGGGATTCAAAAAAATTGAAAAGTACAGAAAACAATAATTGTTTGTATTCCTACATAAAATTTTCTTGTAAACATGGTGGTTAGAAATTTAGAAGTAATTCTAAAGGGGCAAGACCGAACACCAAGTAAGTTATAGGAAAGTTATACAAAGGTGCATTATTACCTAATAATAATTTGTAGATCACATCGTACAAGCAACTGTTCAGCTTTTATGGATGTTTGGTTTAGGCGGAAAATAAAGAGGTTGCAAATCACAAAGGCTATTTTGGAGCACAACCATATAGTTTCTAAGGTATTGATGCATTTTCGTAATATGCTTATTTAGATGTCTACCCACCAAACATAATTTTGTTACATTAATATAAAATACTTCAGTCAATGATTAGATGGAAGTAAACTTACCTCTCTAACAGTGTGAAGGCCTGGCTAGATTTAGGTTTCGAACACAAGATGAAGAAAAGCCAGATGTATGTAATTATATGCTTGAGCCATGATTAGACTACTAGACTCTAAAATTTCCTACTTCTGTTCAATCTAATCATCTACTAAAAAAAAATATATGAATGTTTTGTAATATAACATGTTTGGTGGGACCTACCTATGTATTACCTATTTTATAATTATTATTTTGTATTTGCAGGTACTTTTTCAATACTATGTGTCTGAACGCAAATTAGATGCTAATACCCGTAGTGAAGTTGGGAACATGCTAAGTCTGCATGCTAACAAAAAGTTAATTCAGTCGCATGTACAAAATAAAAGTGGAAAGCGAGTTACATTGAAAGATCTACACAACATTAGCTCACGAGCAGTACCTGGGAAACAAGATTCCACTATTTCAAGCTGCCTAAACTTGCTTCAAGATACATATGATAGGTATATTAACCTACAACCTAGTAGGTACCTTTGTATAAGTAAAAATACGACCCAAAAAATTTGTAGGTGCAACTACAAGTATTTTAGAAGAATGTGGAGAGTTTCGTGGATTACAATTTCAAACAACAGAAATGAAAGTGGTTTCTGAAGCTTTTCCGGAATTTCTGTGTGTTGATGCTACTTATAAATTGCTGGCTATCAGGACACCAGTTTATATTTTCCTAGTGGAACATTCTAATGGGGGAAGCAATATTGCATGTGTAACAATTTTGTTACATGAGAATGCAGATAGTCTTAAATGGATGTGTGAATCGTTTAAAAAAAATAATCCAGGTTGGGCAAAAATAAAAACTGTAATGACTGATAAGGATATGAATGAGAGACATATATTTAAAGAGTGTTTTCCGAGTATAATTATGCTTATTTGCAAATTTCATGCTTTAAGAACTTTCCGGAGGGAAGTTAGTACAAATGCACTTGGAATTTCATCTCTAGAAAAGGGTATATCCCTAGACTACATTCAGAAATTACTTTATAGTAAAAACGTTGATGAGTATAATTTAATTTATGAGACAATGACAAAGTTCATTCCAAAGACAGTATTAGATTATTATAATAAAAATTGGCATTCCATTAAAAATAAATGGGTGCCGTCATTATTTGATAGTGAATGCTCATTTAACAACACAACAAATAACAGGTTGGAATGTATAAATCAGAAACTTAAGTCTGTAATTCCAAAATTTGCAACACTTACAGATTTTATCAATAAATTTTTCTGTGTTTTGAACAGCCTCCATGAACAAGAAAATTTCGAATTATTTTCTAATTTACAAAAAGGTGTGTTACTGAATGCTACAGATAACATTTTAGTTGAGTACAAAAATTTTCTAACATCTTAGGCATATAACTGTGTTTTTAAACAGTATAATGACTCTAAGAATAATATTGTTATACCTTTAAATGATGATGAATATGAGGTTAGCGATTCACGTGCTACTTCTGATCACAAATATTTAACCACTAATAAAAAATGTTCATGCACATACCAAAATCGTATGCAATTACCGTGCAGACATATTTTTTCTGTAAGAATCCATAAATGTCATAATTTATTTGATGAGACACTTTGTGGAGAAAGATGGTCTCAAAAATATTACATCAAGTATCATAGGATGTTTCATAAAGATATTGAAGAACGTTGCTATCCGAATTTTGAAAATGAATGTGAGAATGTTTTATCGCCTGTGTTATCTTCATTACAACGCAATAAACCCATGACACAACATGAAAAATTTAAGCAAGCTGCAATTCTTACAACAGTGTTAGCACAGTTAGTATCTGAAGAATGTAATGAAGAATTTGAGTTTAGATTAAATTTATTACGAAATTTGTCTAAATTTTGGAAGTTAGGCAAAAAAGTTACTCTACATGAGGTCATAGGTATGGGATGCAAGACTGGTAACTTGACAGAAAACGCCGAGTTAGATATTGTTGAGATTGAGCGTGACTATTGTAATAAATCCAGTGAGGATCATAATTTTCCGATAAATAGATATACAAATGTAGAAAATTGTTTTGTATTTGAAAATATTGATATAAATGTTGCAGAAGAAGATTTGGAATGTGAGATAATCACAGACATAAGCGCAAGTCATTTGAAGAATGTTGAAATATTTAAAGAAGACGTTGAAGAAGCGAGAGAGAATCCATCATTAGCTTTTCAACAGAAACTCAATACAGATTCTCATTTTCGAGATATTACCATGCCTTTACCAATTAAACGCGGAAAAGGACGTCCAAAAGGTCATCTACTAACTGTAATTGGTTTAACAAAAAAAAAGAAAAGTTAAGAAGCCCGAATTATATAAAAAGAAACATGTAAGAGAAAAACAAAAATTTCTTTTGAAGGAGTTATTAGGTGATGATATTGCATGCCAAATAGTATTAAATAACACTCAGATTTCTAACGATTCAGTTTTAGAGTGGACTGCTGTACCAAACTTATTTACTGAAAAAATGATTGATGTCAAAATACTAAGGTCCTTTTTTACAACTGAAGGTTTTGTTCGGTTTCAAAATCTAATAAAAGAAAAACAATATGTTCGTGTTTGTACATTTTGTTATGAAGAAGATTTGTCAGACAGTAACTCGTATTATGTAAATGTTGTTTAAAATGGTATCATTGCAAATGTATTTCATTTATGAAGATGCCTAAAAATAGTAATAACTGGATTTGCAATTTTTGTTACATAATATGAATTGATAAGTTCCTACTTTATAGCTTTTAAGTAGATTTATTTTTGTACCGCTGTTGAGTCCAGCAGATTTCAATTAGGTAGGTAGGCTTATTATTAAAAATGTTAAATGTTTATACCTAATTTGAAAATATTAAATCCACAATTTTTACAAAAAAATTGTTTTTATTTTAAACTTATTCCATAAATAACAATCCAAACTACTTCTAGATTTTATGTTTTACAGGCATATCGTAATAATTATTAAGTTGGGTACTTGCCCCTTATATTCCGGAAAACAACTCTATTTTTTTACTAAGACCTGACAACCGTCACAGGAAGAATGATCAGTCAATTTGAGAAAAGACAAATTTAGAATTCCAAGAAAAAATATGAATTTTTAAAATATAAATTGCAATAATTTAAAGTTAATTCTTAAATAATAACTGTGGAACCTCTTACGATTGCCAGACTTCTCGATTTTAACGAGACAATCCCCATATAGGAGGGTTTGTTCCGTGTCCTGATGAACTATACGTTCATCAGAATAGATTTCACAAGTGTAAAATATTTATTCAGAAATTGAGTATATTCAGGAGGTACTGGCAACTGTTATTGTTTTAAAACAATAGCATGATTGTTTAACTGCTTTTTGATTGGTATACCAGATTTTTAGATATTCTAATCTGGTAACCCTAGAACCCCTTTCCCCTGTTTGTATTCGTCCTAAAAAATACAACCCATAATTATTAATAAGAAATTTAAAGGAAGTCTGCAGCACGTCGACATAAAGGACATGTAGAATTTGATGCTTTATGTCCGAAGTCGAACGGGGAGAAAGCTCAGCTGCGTATCCGATATCGGACACGGAGTCACGGCCTTTTTTAATAGTATTTCACACTTGCCCCAAATTATCTGAAAACACCTTATATTGTAGACAACAAAAGGTGAGTAAAAGTGTTTCGCTTTTAACCAGCAAAACTCAAAAATCATGTACAGATACTAGCTATGTTTAAAATATGAAATTTAAAAGACCTATAATTTAGAAGTTATAATGCTTTAAATTGGCACTAATCAAAAAAGCGTTCACTCTTACCCAGGTTTACCCTATATACATAAACAAAATAAAAAAATATTATTCGTCAACGTTTAGCAAAGGGCATAGTTCAACAAGAGGACGCTCTAACAACCTATTTTTAGTCCTAACTAGTGCTAATGTTGTCTCGGCCCACATTTAGTTTGCTGATACGAGCCAATGCCTATTGATTCGGGGGCAAATTGTCCTCTTTAAGAGGAAAATTTACATTACAAACTGAAAGACCTGCCGGGCAACGGTAGTTTAGTAGGTATAAAAATTACAACTAAAGGGTGGAGCCTAAATACTACAAAATTACTTCCAAGACTAAACAAAAACAGCATTTATTCATAATTTTATGTAGATACGAGAGAAAGATATTCTAGACTCTAACGCGCGAAGTTGAGACAAAGGAACTGAAAAATATTCCACAATAGCACAAAATAATAGGTATTTTACAATAATTATTGGTCTGAGAGTAGAAAAGCGACCATAGTTTAGCAATACATTCGCTTCTGTACCACAGATGTCCTTGATTCAAAAAGCCAAAACAATAAATACAGGAAGCCAATGTAAACAAACCAGAGAAAACAGGAGATATAACTATTAACAAATATCGTGCCGTCCTGAATAAGACATATTCTAAGGAGCACAGAAGAGTATAATATCCGCTGTTGTCATACATATACCTATTTAATTATTCTCGTTTTGTTTACAAAATTATTTATATATAATAAAAAAGCTAAAATAATTTAACCTATTTTATTGCAACTGAAACCAAAAAATGTTTAATCATTAGTTATATCAAATTTAACTAAATTAGATGTAATTTCACTAAATTAAATGTAACTATTTGGCTTATACATTTGTTCATTGATAAAATAAAGTTGTATTTGCGTAAAATTCTTTTCTTTATCCCCTCTCTTACTTCTCACCTGTCGTCTTCTCGACGCGGACCTACAAATAGAGTGTATCGATTGTCTGTGATATAAGCATTTTTTGGCGTGCTCCCGTTAATAAACAGTAACACAGAAACCGTGACATGTCAAATGCCCCCACTATCATGTCTCGGTTTCTAAAAAAATCTTGGCAAAAATGAATCGGTTTACTTCAATCGTCAACGTTTTAGATAAACGAGGTTATGTTATGTGTATTTAAAAGGTATTTAACAATAAACAAACTGTGAAAAATCTAAAATTAAGGAAGACAGACAATTTTTCTTTTAAATAACAAATTCAAATAGAATTTAGAGACAATTCAAGTAAAACTATTATACATAAAATAAAAATATGCATGCACAAAATAAAACGCAACTCTGGCAGCTACCAAAAATTCCAAAACAAAACGGTATTACAGAATGCTATGAACGTCAACTGTCACTATCAACCGTTTGTTCACCACCTCAAGAGGCCGAGAACAGAATCATCACGGCGGTAGTAAACATGACGTCAGTGAATGACGTCATTACACTTTCCCTTGAGCGGTTCTCGTCGCGAAAATGATGCGGGTTATACCGTTTGATCACCGGGAGTTCGCCAAAAATTGGTATATATTTTATAATGAGTGGTTACATCTCTGTTATCTCTGAAACTGACAATAAACGGTCTCTTTAAAAAAATATTTTCTATACCTCCTGTTGATTTTTATATTCAAGCGGATTTAGAATATTCAAACTTGGGGTAGCCATGAGTAAGTTAGTCAATTGAAAAGGTACTTTGGTTTTATACTATGTAACGATCAGATACAATGTTTCATCATAATATTATTTATATATATTTTCTAAAAAAAATCCTTGTTACACTGGCTATCAGCAGCCGAGTTGTTAGTTGCACAGTTAAAAAAAATTACCCATTTGGGTAAAATAAACAAATGAATTGAAAGAAAAAAGTGATAGGTAATAAGTTTCTTTTATCTCACAATGTCGGGTATAAGAAGTTATATAGAAAAAGTTAGTATTCAATATCATCTAGACAAAAAACAGAAACATGTTTAAATAAATATATTAAATAAAATATGACTATTTTTAAAGGGTGATATATTTATTTGTATTATGAAAATAATGTTTAGGTCAACAAACTTATGTTCGATATATCTAACAATTTGTAAAGATAACTCTTGTATAATGATAATATTAATATTTAAAGGTTTTAAATGAAGACTTGAAGATATCGCAGTTTGAAATTTCTTTTATTAACCATAATTCCTTTTTTTGGAATGAAACCATTAGTTTCTGTTTTTCAGTAAAGCTCCATAAATCAATTCATATTTTAATCTGAACGGTACTCAAGCACAGTAAAGTGGCAACAACTAAACAATATAATGAACTTTTAAAATGAAATGAAATTTATATTTATAATTAAATAAGTTAGCTAAAATTTTTAAACATACGAAGTTAATAAATTTATAAATAATTACGTTACAAAGATTCATATGTGATTTTTAAATTTCTATTAATGTGATAGTTACTCATCTGCGTTTTACAATATAAATACATGGCTTGGCTTTGGCACAAAACACTGTATAGTAAAACTTCTAATCCGAATCAGAATAGTAATATTATTATTTGTGAACTTACAAAGTGGTCTATTAGTCAAAATATTTATATAATAAATATATATCATTAATTGTCACTGCCATAGCTAAACTGTAAAAAAGCGTATTATAAAAATAAGACATTAATCATAATTTAAATGGATCGCTTACTACCATATTTTACAAATGAAGTGTAACTCTTAAATTAATAAACATATTGTAAATAATTTAAGATTCCTTGCGTCATGTTAATAAAAATTAAACAACAATTCTTAACATTTACATGGTATTCTGTCCCGTACTTCCATGTTTCTAATAGCTCTGCTGTAAACTACTTCTGGTAAGGCATATTGCATATTCGTTTTTACTTTAAATATTTTCCTATATGTTTCATTTTATTTGGTGTTATACAACTTGTTATTTACATATTGTACATGTCTCACTCCGGAGTAATAAATTTTACCCACCAAGTTTGTTTATTTTATGCTTTTCATTGATATTTAAGCAATTAATGATATTAAAATGGCCAAACATGTAATTTTTTCCAGTGGCGTGTCGTACAATTCTAAATATTAACTTTTATTATTTCCTAATTTACTTTTGCTTCTTATTTAATTGCAGCAATGTTTATTTGTTGTTTTATTTAAGATTTCCTGTAGATCCAGCAAAAAAATCTTTGGATTCAGGCAACGAAAATTGCAAATTGGATGTCTACGCCAAATGATAGATAGTGTTCAAAACATTTTTTTTGGGACGGACTGTAAAAGACGTTTACTAAATGGAGCACTATATTTCCTAAATTCTCTAAATACATGCAGCCGAAGAAGGTGCGTATACTAATAAACATAAATTAACATATATATTTTTTTAATTACATTTCATTATTATGTTATGAACTTATAGGAATTTAGCAACCCTTTTGTGTATAATTCGAAACATTACCGTAATAATTGATTGTTTGTAGTACTTAAGAAGAGCATTGCATTTGGAAGCTGAGCCAGGCCCTTCA